GTCTCGATCTCTTGACCTCGTGATCCACCCGCCTCGGCCTCCCAAAGTGCTGGGATTACAGGCGTGAGCCACCGCGCCCGGCCTTCTTTTTTTTTGTTTTTTTGAGACAAAGTTTGGCTGTTCTTGCCCAGGCTGGAGTACAGTGGCACAATCTTGGCTCCTTGGAACCACTGTCTCCCAGGTTCACGCAATTCTCCTGCCTCAGCCTCCCGAGTAGCTGGGATTACAGGCACCCACCATCACGCCCTGCTAATTTTTTGTAATTTTACTAGAGATGAAGTTTCACCATATTGGCCAGGCTGGTCTCTAACTCTTGACTTCATATGATCTGCCCGCCTCAGCCTCCCAAAGGGCTAGAATTACAGGTTTAAATCACTGCACCCAGCCTGAGACCCCCGTCTCTATAAAAAATTTTTCTTTAATTAGCTGGGTGCTGCCAGGCGTGGTGGCTTATGCCATAATTCCAACACTTTGGGAGGATGAAGTGGGCGGATCACAAGGTTGGGAGTTCAAGACCAACCTGATTAACAAGGTGAAGCCCCATCCCTACAAAAAGTACAAAAAAAATTAGCTGGGCATGGTGGTGCACGCCTGTGATCCCAGCTACTCAGGAGGCTGAGGCAGGAGAATCGTTTGAACCTGGGAGGAGGAAGCTGGAGAGAGCTGAGATCTCCATTGCACTTTGGGAGGCCAAGGCGGGTAGATCGCAAGGTCAGGAGATCGAGATTACCCTGGCCAACATGGTGAAACCCTGTTTCAACTACTATACAAAAAATTAGCTGGGCGTGGTAGCACGTGCCTGTAGTCCCAGCTACTCAAGCTGAGGCAGGAGAACTGCTTGAACCCGGAAGCCGGGGTTGCAGTAAGCTGAGATTGTGCCACTGCACTCTAGCCTGGGCCACAGAGTGAGACTCTGTCTCAAAAAACGAAAACAAACAAGACCCAAAAAAACGAGGCCGGGCGCAGTGGCTCACGCCTGTAATCCTAGCACTTTGGGAGGCCGAGGTGGGTGGATCACCTGAGGTCAGGAG